TAAAAAAAAAAAAGCACCCTCTCATGGTCCTAGGGACCAAAAAATGGTCCCGCCCGATCAGCGGGCGAAGCCGCTGCTGCACGCCGGAAATGAGGCTTCGTTTCCCGCAGGTCTCTCCAAGCAGCCCGCTGTTTTCCAGCAAGGATCAAATGTGGAGCAAGGGCGCCACCCGGTGGACAAATAAAAAAATTACAACTCTAAGGCCCAATGACCAAAACGAAACAGAAACATAAGTAAAGACCAAGACATTAACGGTAATAATTCTGCAGTGAAAAATAGCGTTTATAATGGAAGTCAATGGGACAATTTTTGTCCAAAGGCATAAAGGTGGATGCATTGCTGTAGCTTAGCCATTTTAGGCTAATTTAATGAATTTACACCACAATTAAACAAAAAAAGTAAAAAAAAAATTCTTTGACAAATTTGGCTTTAATCCACTCAACACAGTGAAAATGGTTTAAAACTAAAAATTCAAAAGACAATAAATGTCCTTAAGACCCTCCAGGGGTTAAGTCTGACCTCATTAGCTGTTTCCGGGTTCAAACTCAGCTTCAGGTCCCAAAGTCAAATGATCACTGCAGCATTACCGAGACTTAAATACTGTTTTAATTCTTTCATCTTTAATAAAATGATCAGCGTTGCTGCTTTACCAGGTGTAACAATGAAGTTTAACATCCAGGCTTCTATGAAAACAGAATTTATGAATTTTTACGGAGTTAGAAGTTAGCAGGAAGTTAGCTCGCTAGTTTCACTTCCAACATAAATGAAGAGAGAAAACTAAACAGCAGTGATGTTTGCAGGGTTACTGAAGTTGGGCTAGCTGGTATATAATGATGTGCTACATGATCGCTAGCTACACAGCTATGTTAGCATAACATAAACACAGTGAAGCTGGAGGATGAACGCTAACTCTTTCCAGTCTATAAAAGTTAATGTGAGGGTTCCTGATGATGAACCACTTCGTGTCCAGCGGCGGCGGTGACGAGAGTGATTCCCGGGGCTGCCTGCAGCGGCAGACCCAGAGCTGGTCCAGGGGCCAACCATGTGGCAAGCAGTGGCAACGCGGCAGGCGTGGAAGTGAGCCAGGGCTCACAGGCAGCTGGGCAGGCAGCCAGCTCACAGGACCACGCCGCCCTCGGGTGTGGCAGGACCCCCACCTTGACCTACGTCTCCAGCTTGGCAAGTCCCGCTGGCCCGCCAGCCTCCAGTCCTTCCCACGCACTGTCCACATTTACAATAATCACACGGTTGCTGTAACAGTACATTCAACGGCTGCAGCTCTCTCGCTGCCAGATGTACACATCACCACCAGAAACAACAACACAAGCAGAGCACAGGTTTTAAGCTGGCCAGGTGTGATTGTAGATGCCGTACAGGTGAGTCCATCTCACCTCCAAAATATGCAGTATCGCACACCGCTAGTTTTATCTATAGATCACTAAATTACAACAACAGTGACCTGGCAGTGAGACTGTCAGTCACAAGAATGGTGGACATAAAGCAATTTTCAAATTTAGAATAAATCAAATGACTCTATTAACATTTTTGGTTGTATTTATTATTACACCTTTTTTCAGTCCTCTTACATCTATGACAAAGTGTGTACAGCCTGTATTTGTACCTTACCTGTTTTTAACATGTGATGTCTGTGTGAAATACTGACATCACCATATCAAGGAGTTTATAACTTATTTATTTTTCTTTTCTGAAAGAAATGACAGAAACATTTACAATATGTGAAGTTACAGCACAGTTTCTCCAAATGTGTACTTGTCTTTCAGTGAGGGTGCTTTTACAGCATCAA